ATGGTATGATTGACAAGGATCTCACAAAGAGTGGCCCCTTTGTGGCCTATCCATGGATCCTTCCCTTCTTCAGCCACTGCTTCGTTGGAATTTTGGGGAGCCTAGGGCAGTGCATTACGCGGCAAGTGAAGGGGTAGCGAGCCACTTAGCAGTCAGCTTGAAGACAACCTGACGTGCCTCGCTAAATTGAACCGTAGGATTCGGGCATCCCCTTTGAATCCCTTTGAGTCGGGGGTACCGACTGAGTCCCTTTGAGTCCCACAGCCCATGACAGCCATATAATACTTCCTTCTTTCACCTCGGGAAATGGCCTTTCGACCCCCCAAACACGTGCTTCAGGACCCGGTTTTTCCCTATGTTCCTCCGCCAAACAACTGTTCTTCTCCCGTCCCCGAACCCGGCCTCCTCCATGACGACGTCTCGCGGCCGTACCGGCGTAGATAGCTCAGCCAGGTCGAGAGGTCGGCACCTCAACTGCCAGCAGAGGTGGGTCAGAACCCGAACTAGACTATCCTATACCAGGACCCTCCGTTTTCGGGGTGCCCTGTCTGGAAGCCGAACGGCCGGTAGAGTGGGGTAGTCCAGCCAGGACACCCCGAAAACGGAGGGTCCAGGTAGGTACCCCCAGGTTTTCCGGGTCCTAGTGACCTGGTCACTCTCCACCTCAGTGCTTCTGGGAAGCGGATAGAAGCAAAGCAAAGGGTCGGGGCGGCGAAGGTGCTTTGCACGACGCGTCGTGGCATTTCGGAGAGGACGGGGTGAAAAGCACGAGTGGGTACTCATGAATTTCCAGTGGATATTGCAAGGTCCAGGTGTGATGACGGGATTTCGCTTTTTTTTGTCGGAATGGATTCCCTTTTTGAGTCCACTATCTTTGGATATTTTGATAATACAAAAAAGCAAACACTTTAAGATTGAAGGATCACTCCAGCATTCAGTTAAGCGAGAGTCCCGTGAATGGCGGATGTAGCGCAAACTCCCTGCCACGCAATTCCTGCATCGCTCCAGTCTTCGGTGCATTTGGCTGCTATGTGTTTTCGTTGTCATCAACAAGTCTGGTGTCCACATTGGTGGGTAAGCTGTGGGCCCTGGAACTAAGCCTGCAGCGTTTCTGCTAAACATACCATGCAAGGGTTATCCATTGAAACAACTCAACGTCTGAGACCTCCAGCTCATGTTTCATGTTTCATTGCCTGGAGATGTTTCCAGATCACATAAGCGAGAGACCTGTGAATGGTGGATGTAGTGCAAGCTGCGTTCCAGTCACTTCCAGCATTACTCCAGGCTTCAGTGCATTTGGCTGCTTTGTGTTTGCGTTGTCATAAACAAGTCTCTGGTGTCCACATTGGTGGGTAAACATTGCCGCGGGCCATGGAACTAGGCTTGCAGTAGTTCTCTGAACATACAAAGGGCCTAGTTGGCAAATTTCACACCACGGTTCACTTCAGGTTAGAATGGAATTATAACCTTTTTGGCAGGTTTAACAAGACAAATCAGTTTTGAACAAGCGGAACCAGTTAAAAAAGATATCACTGGAAAAAAAATCAATCTGACAATTGCGGCAATATGTTTGTCCAACATGTACCCGTCAAAGTGCTTCAAACATAGTTTTAATATACTTTAATCAATAGTAATAGACATAATTGGACAAACAATGCTGGATCACTAATTGCACAAACAAATTTGGTTTAGTATGCCTGACAGATTGGCCTTACGGGCCAAACGGGCAACAGCTATGGACTGGGTGACCTGACCTTAGACAAGTCCTGTAGTGGTAATACAACGGATTACTTGGAATATAGAAACCCAGACGCTCCAAACAACCCTTGGTCCCTCAAAACCATAGGGATTTGAGACCCCAGACCCCTCCATATGAGGGTCCGACCCTTCCAGATGAGAGCCCATGAGCGTCTGGGAACAGGATTATTAGACTATCGGATGAGTTTCTCGTGCTCGCGGAGAGAATGCTCGTTCAAGAATTTCCAGGACTAAGTTTTGGTCTTGAGCGGTCTGGGACTTATAGTTCCCCTAGAAGTCCAGTTCGACTATATTTTGACCGGCTAAAGTAAAGGAACTTCCCGAACTCAGGTCCCCGAGTCAGACCATTCTTTTTAGAGTCGACTGGACTCCCAGGGGTTCCATCAATTCCGGAACCGGTCGTGGATCGCGGAACGGTCGCGGAGAGAGTCTGGGGGTCCGGGGGGGCAGGTTCGAGGGTCGCAGGGTGGTGCACAGGGATAAAAAGTGTGCGATGAGTGTGGTCAAAATCTGACCAACCAGTTCAAAAAGTTATAATCCCCCCCAAAAAAAGAAACTTATAGTTCCAGAATTTCTGGAACTGAACTATAAGTCTTTTTTCGAGATTATAACTTTTGAACCAGCTGTTTCAATTTCTGACCAGAGTTTTACTTGTCAAAACCGGTCAACGCAATAGATATTTGTTGGAAGGCACTTTGCAGGGATCCCATCCAGATATTTCTCGCTTGTGAACAATCACAAATTTGGGAACATCTATCAATCCTGGTAAATTTCACACCACAGCTGAGGCTGAGTTCAGTTCAGAATGGAATTATGCTTTTTTGGGCGCCAACGGTTCTTAAAATGGCTTAAACAAGCTGAACCACTTCCAAAAAGTGAATCACTTGATAAATTCACATTATATCAAAATGTACTCGTAGTGGAGAGGGTGGCCCAGGTTTCCACGGTCGCGGAGAGTTTTGCAGAAACTATGAGTTCCAGAAGTCCGCGACTGTCCACGACCATGGAACCTCATCCAAAAACAAGTATAGTTCCGGAAATTCTTGAACTGTTGTATTCTCTAGGGACTAATCATTTGGGTGATTTTTGTTGTGCAAACTCATGAACAATTTATTGTCAACTCTCCTTTTCACGGGACTGTTTTTGTTGGGTTCTGAAGCCTTCAGGATTACGAAGACATACCCGCTACTTATAGTTCCAGAAATTCTGGAACATAATGTGTTTTGTTTGTTTGTTTGTTTTATTTGAGTCGGATGATTCAATTTCTGAACAGAGTTTAAACAAAGAACATGTCCACATAATAGATGTTGGTTGGAACGGTCCAAATAGCTCTGAGTTGTACATGCTAACAACATAGTTTTGAGGCAGCGGCATTGTTACAATTGTTGATGTATATCCTTTGATATCCTTTTGTTACAGGGTCAGTCAGTTGATCACTGCCACCTGTTCACAAGACACATCACTGGATGGCCATTGTTGTTTACTTTTGGTCCAACTGCCGCTCCGTGTGTTCAAAGAACATTGAGATCACAGGTTTCAACACATGTTCCATGATTCAAGGGAGTGGTTTCAAGTTTCAACATAAGAAGAAAAACAAACACGCTTCATAATCTGATATGTCAGACTCGACCTCGGACTCCGATGTGAGTTCTTTGAATTGAATCAGCTCTTTGTGTATTCCTCTGACAGTTCCATGATCTCCATGGTTCCCTGAACTGAATGGATCTGTTAAACACTTAAGACCATGCAGGCTTGTTTGGTGTTGGAATGGCATTATGGCTTTTGGTGAGCCCCAAATCTGTAAGGCATTTAGGGGATTGGAAAAAACTGCAGTTAGTTTTTTTTCAATGGATTCAAGCAAAACAGGAATGGAAACTGTCATTGGTCCATTGAGTCCTGAACCATGAGTACGCGCACCTAAAAATATTGTAACTCCAAGTTGGGCTGAACTAAACCCTAAAAAACCCGTGGTGTGAAATTTACCAGGCCTAATCATCGAAAACAACTCAACAATGAGACCTCCAGTGTTCTTCCATATGGCTTGGCAGGAGATGTCGACTTGGATTTCCAGGGGAACATTCTTCAACAACTTCAACCGCCTCTCACGGGCAATTGGATCAAGATGCCAAATCGGCAAAACACAAAACTTGAGGCAAGAAGCATCCTCCTTATCTGAGCTATATGTTTCATGTGGACTTTTCGATCCTTTTGAGCACGCATGTATAGCT